CCGTCTCTAGGGGCGAGCCTTCTGTCCTACTGGGGATGAGAGTGGTGCACGGAAGCCTGCCTCTCTTCCAGCTTGAGCAGGCCCTCTGGCGTGCCCGTGTCCAGCTCGGCCGGCCTGGTCGCCGTGGGCCTTTCGTAGTGGCTTGGAGCTGCGTGTGGTCGTGAGTTTTGGTTTAGACTTCTGAATGAATTGGGAGGGGGCGAGGTATGTGCTCTACAGAATGTGGAGCCCCTGACGGGCCCCAGGTCTGAGGACTGTGGGAGCCATGGGCTGTGAGTGTCCTGACCTTTAGAAGGGACGTGAGGTTCTGCATCAAGAAGTGTCCTGGGATGGGGTTCGGGGCATGTTGAGCTTAGTGGTCCACCCACAGCTTCTGTGGCCACCACAGACTTCGCAGGCCACTGGCTAATGTAGAGTCAACCTACAGAAGAAATGTCTCAGGAAGAAGCTTCGCTCATTAAAGAGTTAATATAAGAGCTTCAGAATGAACTCCCCTCACCTGCCTTTTTAATTTTGATCTATGTATCCCACCACTTGTCTGTCAGTATGTCATGCTGAGGAGGCTTCCTTGTTGGTTGTGGGGCTGGAGGACACGCACCAATATTTCCAATACCAGCAGAGTCACCCATGGTGGACGGTTTCAACAGAGCTTCTAGACTGAGACTGGGAAGAAGGAAGGGACCATCCATTTCTGAAAAAACTGGCCACTAAAAACTTCATGAGTGTCAGTGAAACACTGTCTGATGTGTTACTGGAAAGCTTTATAAATAGCCCTGAAATGTTGTCCGACATAGTGCCGGAAGATGAGCCCATCAGGTCAGAAGATGTGATAGTTAAGTCTCTGTGTCAACTTGGCTGGGCCTGGTTGAGTGGCTGGGCAGCTGGATGTAGTTATTCCCCTTGATGAGACTGGCAATCAAATCCATGGTGGAATCTACTGCGAGAAGCTGTGTAGCTGTCTTAGGGATGTGGTCAGCTTCATGTATATAAGGAGAAGCTTTGGGAACAGTCTCTAGCTTTTTGGCACACTTGAACCCTGCATGTAGCCGAGTTTTCATTCAGTAGCCTGCCATACTCTCCCGATCTTGGGACTTTCAGTAGACTTGAATTAATGGCCCACTGTGTGATTTGGTAACATCAGGACTGTGCCTTTTTACTTGTTGACCTTGGGTTTGTCAGCCTCAGCAGCCAGCAGCTGCCTGAGTGAACAAAGCCTCCAGCTTCGGTGGCCTGGGAGCCAGAGACAGAGCTGAAGCCCAAGGTCAAGGGGCTTTCACTGAGCCCATAGAGCCTGGCACTTTGAACTTGGACTTCTAGCCTCCTAAACTGTAAGATAATAAACTCCTGTTTGTTAAACACATTCCATTTGTGGTATATATTCTTGTTAGAGTGGCACTAGGTAACAAACTGAAGGCACTCAGAGTATGACTGGGGAAGAGCTGCCTTCTCAGAGCAGAGTCGACCTTAATGATGTGGATGGAGTAAAGCTGTGGGACCTCCATTTGCTGACATGGCACGACTCAAGATGGGAAGAAACAGCTGCAAACATCCATTAACAGTGAGAACATGGAATATACGAAGTATGAATCTAAGAAAATTAAAAGTTGGCAAAAATGAAGTGGAACACATAAAGATCAATATCCTAGATGTTTAAAAAAAAAAAAAAAAAACCTAAAAAACTCACCGCTGTCGAGTTGGATCTGACTCATAGTGACCCCTCCTTGGGTTTCTGAGGTGGTATGGTAGCATAGTGACTAAGGCACTTGACTGCTAACCAGAAGGCTGACGATTCAAACCCACCAGCCACTCCTCAGAAGGAAGATGGGGCAATCTACTGCCTCGGAAACCCAAGGGGAGGAAGGGGAGGGGTCGCTATGAGTTGGGTCCGACTCGACAGCCTATAACAACAACAACATGGGCAAAATATTGAATGATGCAGGAAGCATCAAAAGAAAAGGAAACAAACACAAAGTCACTGTAACAGAAAGAATTGGTTGACGTTCAGCCATTTCAAGAGGAAGCATATGATCAAGAATCAGTGATAATGAAGGAAGAAGTCCAAGGTGCACAGGAGGCACTGGCAAAAAACAAGGCTTGAGGAATTGACAAAATACCCATTGAAGTGTTTCAGCAAATGAGAGTGACTCTGCAGGCCCTGACTTACTTACGAAATGAGAGATTTGGAAGACGGCTGCCTGGCCAACTGACTGGAAGAGATCCGTATCTGCACTCATTCCAGAGAAAGGTGATCCCATAGAACGTGGAAATTATCGAACAATATCATTAACATCACACACAAGTAATATTTTGCTGAAGACAATTCAAAAACAGTTGCAGCAGTATATTAACAGGGAATTTCCAGAAATTTGAGCTGGATTCAGAAAAAGATGTGGAATGAGGGATATCATTACTAATGTCAGATGGATCTTGGCTGAACCAAAGAATACCAGAAAGATGTTTAGCTATCTTTTATTGATTATGCAAAGGCATTTGACTGTATGGGTCATAACAAATTATGGATAACATTGAGAAGAATGGGAATTCCAGAGCATTTAATTATGTTCATGATGAATGTGTACGTAGACCAAGAGGTGATTGTTTGAACAGAACAAGGGAATACTGCGTGGTTTAGAATCAGCAAGGGAGTGTATCAGGGTTGTATTCTTTCACCTTAGTTATTCAATGTATATGCTGAGCAAATAATCTGAGAAGCTGGACTATATGAAGAAGAATGTGGCATCAGAATTGGAGGATGACTCATTAATAATCTGTGATATGCAGACAACACAGCTTTGCTTTCTGAAAGTGAGGATGACTTGAAGCACTTGCTGATGAAGATTGAAGACTACAGTCTGCAGTATGGATTACATCTCAATATAAAGAAAACAGACATCCTCACAACTGGACCAGTGAGCAACTTCACGATAAATTAAAGTTATCAGGGATTTCATTTTACTTGGATCCACAGTCAACGCCCATGGAAGTAGCAGTCAAGAAATTAGACATCGAATTGCACTGGTCGAATCTGCTGCAAAAAACTCTCTTTAAAATGCTGAGCAAAGATGTCACTTTGAAGACTAAGATGCACCTAACCAAAGCCATGGTCTTTTCAGTTGCCTCTTAAGCACGTGAAAGCTGAACAGTGGATAAGGGGGACTGAAGAAGAGTTGATGCTTTTGGGTTGTGGTATTGGCAAATAATACTGGAAATGCCATGGACTGTCAGAAGAATGAACAAATCTGCCCTGGAAGAAGTGCAGCCAGCACGCTCCTTGAAAGCAAGAATGGCCAGACTTCGTCTCACCTCCTCTGGTCACATTGTCAGACGGGATCATTCCCTGGAGAAGGATATCATGCTTGGTAAAGTGGAGAGTCAGTGAAGAAGGGGAAGCCCCTCAACAAGATGGACTGACTCAGTGGCTACAGTGATGGGCTGAAGCAAACAGGGATTGTCAGGATAGCACAGGTTTGGGCAGTGTTTTCTTCTGTTGTACATAGGGTCACTATAATCTACTTGGTGCCACCTAACAACCACAAGAACAACAACTAGGTCGTATTTGTTTATAATAAAAACTAAATTCTTCTTGTTCTGCATTGTCTTCAGATGATCGACCTGTATCACGTTTTTGGGTAACTTCCTGTGCACTGTTCTCTCTCCTGCACAGGTTCTCAGCATAGGGTTACTGTTGACTTTGCCATGCCTTTGACATGCCAGTTGCCCTTTTGCTTTCTTCAGAGCTGCTAATGCAACATGCTGTCACAGCCCTGCCTCTTGTGTTTTGTCGTAGGCTCTGATGGATTCTAACCTTCCGAGGTTACAGTTGGAACTCTACAAGGAGATTAAAAAGGTAGGCTTGCGTTTTCCCTGATTGAAACAATGCTACTTTGACAGTCCTGAGCAGCGTGCATGAAGTTTTCTCTCTTTCTGAATAAGTGAACGTGAAGAGGAAATGCTGTTTGGTAAAGTAGACTTCTGTTCATTTTTCTTTAAAAGGTTGTGATTTCACTTCTCTTGGTTGGGCTGGGCGTGAAATGGTGCTTTGTTTTGCTTTGGGTATCCTTTATAGTTGCAGCCTACTAGCCCTGAGGGTTTGTTATTATCAGCTACACTGAAATGACTTTCCCTAAAAGCGGAAATTAGCGATTTAAAATACCCTTTGGGTTCTGCGCGTCTGCGCCTCTGATATTGGGTCCCGTCCTCGGTCCCCGCAGAACGGAGCTCCTCGGAGTCTGCGTGCGGCCCTTTGGAGGTTTGCTGAGCTGGCTCACCTGGTTCGGCCACAGAAATGCAGGTATGTTGTCAGGCTCAGGAGGGCTTGGCATCCAGCGCGGCCCTGTTCCAGGTACCGTCCATGTTGTCCTGTTCGCTTTTCCTCCCAGCACTTCACCTTTCAGAAATTTTCTTGTGACTCTATCGGTGTACTTGTCTGTTCTCTGGCCCAGCCTCCCTGGAGACATGTAGACTGCAGGCACCAGGGCAGCAGGGCTCTTCCCTGCCTGTTGTCTGTCACGGCACACCCCGGTAACCGTGTCGGGAGTGGCATGGCTGTGAGCAGACACTTGTCAGCTGTGTGGGTGTGGGTGTGGGTGTGGGTGGCTGCCATACCACCCCCATTGTTGCTGATAGTAGGGAGTGACGGCAAACGGGCATGTGTCATGAGTGGAATGTTCAGCTGGAAGCACATGGGACCTTAGCCACTGTGAGAGCAGAGTTTACACCAGCTGCTTCCTTCCTTGTAAGCGGCCCGGTGTGCCAATGTCCTCTAGACCTTCGGCTCCATCCTGAGTGCTGCCGACAGGGCCGCACCCGCCAGTCCGTGGGGACTGGGGCTGTACTGCAGCGAGGGTGCGTTGGGGTGAGAATTCCGGTGGCTGCACACATGCGGTCCCTCAGGAAGCATCTTTCTCGAAACCCTTGTCCTTTTACGGGCTTTATTTTGAAAGTTTTGCTATAGCTCTGAAGCAGCACATCCAAAGTTCTCACAGCAGCTCAAGTGACCTTGCGTCCTGCCATTCCTTTCCTGGAA